TTGCCCAGGAAATATCGAGGAAATGTGTAGTGAATGATCGTCATTTCTCAATTCCTCGGGGAATTATATATATTTGTATGGTATTATTGGGAATTGGAAGAATTCCTATTTCTCAGTCCTTGGACACCCCTCAAAATTTCAGTTATGGATTTTAAGCTTTCCTTAAAAAGCTTCCAGATTTTATGCGAATAGACAAATGAACAAAACTTTTATTTTTGATATTTACTTATTGAAATCCTCAACTATTGACTACATGAACGCTTTTAAAATCCTCATTTATTTTCTATAGAACGTTTAGAGATCCTTCCGTGACCCATAAAAGCTCTCTAGAGGCCCTCTGAAGATCTCCAGAATACATCCATTGGATGCATTATGGTTGATTACCTGTGAATCCACTTTTTCTGCGCATAATATTTCGCGCTTTATAGCAAACTACCGATGGCATTAAAATTAGAAGGAATGTGTCTTAAGTTGGTCTAAATAAAAAAGACAGAGCCACTTTTTTTTAATTTCTCATCATAACTTTGGACTACTACAATAGTAATATATGAAGCTAAATCTTGAAAGATAATTCATGCTCTACATCAAAAGTTATAAGTAGTCCCGCTGAGAACTGTAAACGAGTCATGATATATAAAATACATAACCAGGCTCATTTATTCTTCTTTTCCAATAAACGAGTCTTCGCGGTAATGTCGTTCGCGGTAATACCACGGTACCACAAAATAGCTTAGCGGCCGGAATTACTCCAATCGAGAAAAATGAAAAAAACAGAAATCTAACCACGTCTTATTGTATTTTAATTAACTTCATTAGAATAGGTACTAATAATTTCAAATTTGTATGACAGGTAGAAGAGAAGAAGAGCTTCAAACTGGTGTAATTTCTACCTGATTAGGATTTATCATTAGTTAGCATATGTTTGTTTCAGAAAACTTCATCTATTTGAATGGACCGGCCGGAATTACCCCACAAAAAATAGCTTAGCGGCCGGAATTGACCAAGATCGCGCCGCGACTTCGCGACATTATAGCGATCGCGACGCGAATATAAGATTTCATCGCGTGAGGGATATAGACATGAGGGATATCAAAGGGACAGCGTGATCGCGCCGCAAATGACGTGTGACAGTGGGCCTGGGTTTAACAAAAAGGCAAAAGGAGCACGCCGGACGTGCGAAGTGAGCGCACGTCATATACAATAGCGGTCTGTCACACTAACTATTGAGCCAATCCAGTTGTTAGTTCTTCTCATTAAAAGAAATTTAACCGGAACAAAATAAAATGATATTTATCAAAAAATAATATTAGTGTTGCCATATTTCCTCGTGTTTTAAAATCTTCAGATAATGGGACAAATCCGTTCACTTCTGAGACATTGGTTCAGGGCGTCGTACTACTCATTACGCCGGCCACTATGAGCTCCTCTTCTGTGAATATGTGATACAAATTGGCTGCAATTGTTCAAGTAAGATTCGTTTGGCGGCGTAATCTGTAATCGGTTTCTTATTTGAGTCGTTTTGAAAGAAGATAGGATTTTTGTCTTGACTCTGTAGTTCATGATGCTCTGACTAAAAAGTTGTGAAAGAGATCTCCTTTATTTTATTCTGTAGAATCAAGTCGTCTTCTGAAGAAGGAGACAAGACACAACCCTTGTCGGTACAGACAATTAGAAACTTAATCAATCGATTTGATCATTCTCTTGGCCACTTCCAGTTATAATGGCAAGTGCAGTCTCTACAACATCTAGCGGCGATCAAACCAAAGTTCACTTATCAGGTAGAATGTGTGTGCATGTGTATTTTGCTGTGTACAATATATTTTGAGAAAACGATAACCTGAAATCTAAGCTGAAAGCAATTTAAAAATATTTTGATTTATCCAACAATAAAAAGGTATCTTTCAAAATAGTCCATCTCGTTTAGAAACACTCGAGCAAAAATCGGAAGCCGAAGACGAGACTAGTCAAGAGACAGAGAAAGTTCAATCGTTAGATATGATTCTTGAAAGTCAACCATATCTGTGCGATTTGCACACGCATCTGTTGGGCATGGGTAATACAGGTTTTTGGATTGATCGCACGCCGATTTTTGCAGCAATCCTAATCTTCGTGTGCAATTATGTCCGCTCATTTGGAATAATCAGAAAGAGAACGGCGGTGCCTTCATCGATGGAAAGCAAACAACAATGTTTATTGATCTGCTAATTGAAAAAGATTTCCCCAACGTACCCGGTAAAGATATTCTTAAGTTCTTTGACGACAATCAAATTACCGTCGAGTTCGAACGGCTCATCGGAGATAACCAATTTGTTAGTCAATTAAAACACTACGAACTATCTTTCGGTAATTCGAAAAAACCTTTTCCGACACGAACTTATGAAGGTTTGATAAAACACGCTACAGTCGGAGACTTTACGTACGATGTTGTTCTAACGCTGAGTGATCTGGGTAAAGCGTTTAATGTGACAACACCGTGGATTAGCGAATTTGACGATTTAATTCAGAGTAAAGTTGAGGAGAAACTTGGCCTTCATACTTATCAGCAATCGACGGAGTCATTATCTCCACCATTTTTTCGCCGATGGATCGTGTTCAATACTCGCGAACAAGTTTTTCAAGTGGTGAAAGGTATTACTGTTGAAACACTGCGCAACCTTATCAGTGTTAAGGCCAATGCGCCAGTGCAAGCAAGTGCGCTGGCACGCGCTCGCCTTCAAAATGCCTTTTCCATGTGTAATCCGGATGGTACAGCTCCTCGTCCCGTCGATTTTGACAAATTTCACGGATCATTTACGCCTGAATTTTATCTGCGTCGCTTTGCACTGAAAGATTCGATCTATTCGCAACGACTCGATGTACTCGCCATTCTACTCGTTCACATTCTTCAACGGTACCAGACTTGCTTGCCTCCTATCCGCTATTGTGAACTGTCCATTGGTGTTGGAGATCTGTCCCGTCCCTGGGTCTTTGATGTACTCTGCAGTTTTCCCGCTCATCATCCAGTGATAGAAGACGAGCACACTACGATGAGCAGTTTTCGTACAATGATTGAAAAAGGCCATTTCGCTCATCTCCGTAATGCATGTCCAAGATCGAAGTCTATCCTTCCTTGCACTCCCAATGTCACGTACAAATTTCTGGCTGGCTTCAATCGACAAACTGTCGTAGCACATCGCATAAAAAATCAACTCGAAGCCCTTCGTTTACTCAACGATTCTCCGGATGTAGCAATTCATTACATGCTCGAACAAATTATGCAAAGTGAAAACGACGAAAAGTCTTATGCAAAGAAGGACAAATCACCAGAGACGGAGTTGGATAATAAGGTAACGGTATATCCAACACGAGAAGTACCCCCATTTCTGATGACAGGAAAGACGAAACTACTGTTATTTACATACTCAGCTCCGAACATGTAGAAGGTTTTCCCAGATAGAGTGAAGAATTGACGGTAGGAGGATCAACTATTGCACAATATCCCAAACAGACGAGCAACACATAAGGATACCAGGCATCTATTTGGTAAACAACAAGGCATTGAAAGCGGAAAGAAATAACTACAAGACTGCAACCTCATTAAACATGGCGCAGTCTGCGTCTCGATGACGGCGAAGCGAGTTTTCACCTATAAAAAGTATCGTATGATTTCATATGATCTGAGTGGAAATGGTACTCCTGAGATTATTTTTCTGCTTTTGTCCCGATTCATACATGAAATGCTTGAAAAAGTTTAGATTTTTTCGTGTTTATATGCGTTTTTCGGTGTCTGATATTAGAAAATGCCTTGAGGGCTTCATAAAGTGCAAGTCAATCTAAAAGTTCATTGAGCGCCTTTTTACGCTTACTGCCCATAAAAGAACAAAGTTTATGAGTAAAGGAACAATTTACATTCCTTCCTGATACTAGGCGTACATAGTAAACATGAGAATTCACAATTTCCTGTTCTCTTATTCTAACTTACCTTATTTTCTATATTGCTGTATCTATATCACCTTAAGTTACCAAAGGCTGAGAATATTCAGAGTTTTAAAATTTTCAGTTCTTCTGACTCCTTCGTTACGTAAGGTCGCAATAATACGTACGATCTTTTGGAATCATAAAATTTCGTACGTATGATCTTGTAAGATCAGATAAGATCGTACGTATGGTTGTTGTACGAATCCTATAATCCGAACCCTGTGACTTTTCAGGGACCATGATCCGTAGATCGATCGTACCATTAGATAGATTTATTTTACACAAAGGTAGGATATCACGAAAAAGCACCAAAAAGACTTGTGGCATCCGGAGGCACCTCATGATAACCTAAACTGAAAAGTTTCTAAAAAGAATCCAGTTAGTCATAGTCATTCCAGAAATGCGCAGGAAACTCTGTTTACGAAAAATTTTACGCGTTTAGCGAGTTTTAAATAATAACGCGCAAGAAGCTCCGAGTGTGTAAAAATAAAACGCAGGAACCTCGAAGTTTCTTGCGCGTTATTATTCGAAACTCGCTAAACGCGTAAAATTTTTAGTAAACTGAGTTTCCCGCGCTTTTCTGGAATGACTATGACTGACTGGGAATCGCTACTATAAGACATACATTGTAAGAGAAAACGTAAGTGTGATACATTTTAAGAGAAAGAGTAATAAACATAAATTAATGCTACAATTGTTTACGAATTTGATAAAGTTTGAACTTTTCTCTTCGTATTTTATACATAAAAATTATCAAAATTATTGAAAGCCAAGATGATCTCTTAACATACGCTTAAATACAGATGAAGAAGACTGACATGCTAAAACCGAAGGAAGTTCATTCCATTCCTTTGAGCCAACAAAAGAGCCGGATGCAGTTTTTAGCTTGAGACGAGGAATGAAAGCGCTATTATTATGACCTAATCGAGAACTTTGACGCGTAGTTAGTGGTGAGATCAAATCAAGAGATGAGAGAAGACTTTTATTATAGAATATTTTATGAAAATCTAGACGACGATAGTAAAGACGTCTGTTAGTAAGTGGTTGAATTTTAAATTTTTTGAGCAAATAAGAAAAGGAACTATTAAAGTCTTGTGAGATAATTCTATTAGCAAGACGCTGAATTTTGTTCAGAATATTAAGGTGAGCGATAAAGGTTGAATCTTAAATAACACAAGCATATTCGAGCACTGGTCATACACAAGTTTTATACAGATGGCAACGTAAAAACGAGGGCGAGTCTCGAAAAATTCTGGGAATAGAGCGTAACATTTGCCGCGATTTTGTTGAAACACACTCAATACGAGATTTCCACGTTAAATTATGCGAGATAATAACACCAAGTAGTTTGAGAGATGAAACACGCTTAATAATAATATCTTTTATCGAAAGAGTGAGCGATGGAAGTGTTCTTTTAGAGTTAGATAATAAAATCCATTGACATTTGTTAATGTTTAACTTTACCTCATTTATATCGCACCAAAGAAGAAGCTCATCGATACATTTTTGTCCTTCGGATATATTTGTAATGCAAAAAACATCATCAGCAAAGAGACAAGAAAGAAGAGAAGATTTGAGCGACGGCGAAACATCATTAATAAATATAAGAAATAAAATCGGGCCTACAATACTGCCCTGTGGTACACCAGACGTCATACGAACATTTCATATATATGAAGTAATACAATTATTCAAGATCATATCTGCCCATGTAGTATAATCATGTCTGATCATATCTGATCTTGTACAGATGCTCGTACGATTCCCTTCCCTGTGAAATTGAGAAAGCTTGAATAAAAATCAACAATTGAAAATTCTCTCTCATAATAAATCGTCGTTGGATCTAAACTTGACCTTCGTTGGTTGACAGTCTGTTCTGCAACTGAAAATTCACTCTCCCCTGCTGTCGAACTACACGGAATTGAAACTATATGACGGGCTAATTTTGCTAAAGGCGGAAATGCAGTTTCATTTTATTTCCCGCTCTGGCCAGCCATCTCTGCTACCGGAGTGAAATTCCGTAACGATTTTTTTGCATTTTGTTTTTCTTATAATGTTTGAGTAACGAGACGCCTAGAGATCTAGAGTATCACAGATTAAAGAGAAAA